GTTTGTATGCCCGCCCGGTCTGTTCTGTTCTCGTGCTCCATTTAGGCGCGCTGCATTCTGATTGGTTCGGGTAGCATACTGCGGGAGGTCGGGTCCGCGGAAAACCGTGCTATAAAGCGATTTAGAAATCGCGCACGCTCAAATCGCGATTTTATGGTGATTTCGATTAATCGCACAGCCCTAATAGAAAGTCAGAATTGTGAAAGTCAGAATTGCAATATTTAAACTCAGACTTATGTCATAGAAAGTCGGAATTGCAAGAGACAAACTTGGAATTGCAAGATATAAACTCAGAATTGTGAGATACAAACTCGGAATTACGAGATAGAAAGTTGGAATCGCAAGATACAAACTTGGAATTGTACGATAGAAAGTTAGAATTACGAGATAGAAAGTTGGAATTATGGGATAGAAAGTCGTAATTACAAAACAGACAGTTGGAATTGCGAGATGTAAATTTAGAATTATGAGATAGTCGGAATTACAAGATGAAAAGACAGAATTGTAAGATATAAACTCAATTAAAAGAAAAAAGTTGAAACTGAGATAAAATGTCACAATTACCTATTTTTACTACTTATTCTGTGGTGGAAACAAAAAACTAAATTGCGAGATGTAAATTCACAATTCGGAGAAGAAAAAGTTAAAATTCTGAGATTATATCTTGCAATACAGACTTTTTTTCTGAAAATTGTGAGGAAGAAGTCAGCATTGTGAGATAAAAAGACGCAATTACTGTTATTTTTTATCCCATGACGGAAACAGTCTTCCGTATCACGTGTAAAAACCAAATGTTTGTGCTCTCAAAATAAATTAATGGCATGAAGATGACGGGAAAGAATGAAATGCTCATAAAAAGTGTGACATCCTACTGTAAGCTCAAGGTGCAAGTGTGAATTCATATTTACAACAGCACAAGAGAGTACACGTGATATACTAGTGTGATGCATTAATATGTGTTTTTCCCACACCACAAATGTGCAGACAAAATAAAGAAGTGTTAAGTGGATGGTACGGACATCTCGGTTTGAATCCAATTCCATTTGGAGCATCTTTCTGTTTCCAGTAATCAAAACACTCTTTGCCAGAATCCACAGACAAAACAATTCAAGTTTTGATGGAACGTGATAAAACAGTATCAAACACTGGATCTGGAGATCTGGGTGTGGACGTGATGTTTCTCCTCACCAGTGCTCCAGGTGCAGGTCCATGGCCGAGTTCAGGCTGATGTCGGTCACATCCAGGAACTCCGTGTTGAAGATGCTCGGCCCGGATGGAGGCAGGCCGTTGTGGAAGGCGGTGGCGGAGCTGGGCGGAGTCAGATCCAGCCATTCCATTGTCTCCCACGGCGACTCCGCGAAGGTCATTCCGAGGCCGTGACCCTCGGCGGCAACCGCGGAGATCTTTCCGGCCGTGGGCGATACGGGCGTGCCCATCATGTCGCGGCTGTTGAATCCATCGCCCGCCTCCAAGCGTCCGTCCTCGGCGGGCATCTTCAGGAGCGCCGCGTCTCCTTGCGTCCGGCTCATGGGGCTCAGCAGCACCTCCAGATGAGCGTCTCCGTGAGCCGCCGCGTGATCGTAAGCGAGCATGGAGGGCGACATGTGACTGTAGTGTCGGTGGAACTTGGGCGAAACTGTAAGGTGAGGCACAACTTTGGTTACAGGAAACCTCTCTTCTTTGGCGTTAGCAGGCATTTCTTTAAAACAAGACAATGACAGCACAAAGAGTGACTTTAATAGTCAATAACAGCTGGGTGTTACTGTGTGAAATGAGGGGCCTTGTGAACGTTTCATTTAGGGCTAAAGGGATAGTTCACCCAAAAATGAAAATTCTGTCATCATTTATTCACCATCAAGTTGTTCCAAATCTGCAGTATAGAAGGTATTTTGAAGAATGTTGGACGCCAAACAGTTTCTGGTGCCAATTGACTTATTATACATTATAAAAAATAAATAAATAATAATAATATGGACATCAATGGCTACCATCAACTGTTCGGTTACCAACATTCTTCAAAATATCTTCTTTTGTGTTCAGCAGAAGAAAGAAACTCCCACAGGTTTGGAACAACATGAGAGTGAGTAAACAATGACAAAATTCAAAAGCTGATGAGGAGAGACTCACCTCCGCTCTCGATGAGGACGTCTAGAAGCTCATCCATCTGCTGGCTGCGCGACATCTGCTGCAAGAACATCACAGGATCATTTAATCGTGTTAGTATTTGATGCTGTCAACACATTTGTGACACATTCCATGCCTTTGCTTTAACCCTCATAATGCACTCGGGTCCGTTTTGGCACGGAAGAGATGCATAAAAAATAAGCAGTTTTTAGTAAGGGAACAAAATTTTTCAAAGGCTTTAAGACCCTCAAAATACACAGCATTTAGTCGTTTCAGATTTTTTTAAAGTTTCATGTTTGGTTAATTTTGACCCGGGCATGTATGGAGTACAATTAGTGCCAAAAATACTTGTAAAATTATTTATGAGGTTGTGTTAGTGTCTAAAAACTTTTGTAAAATATATTTAGCTTTTTTTCCCACATCTCACTGAATTTTGTTGCTAAACCTGTATATGTACGTCTATTAATAACCCACTGCAACATGAAAATTGAAAGTTTAAGTAAAATGAGTTTATTTAGTTTGAAAACTTTTGAGAGTAATATTTGTTGTTTTTATATAAATAAATATGTAGCGGTCATAAATTTGGACTGTTTTTGAGTAATCATGAATTATAATTTAAAGGAATTTAATAAAATTATATTCATTCCAATGGGGTTAATGCTGGTAATACTGGTTTCTCATACATGTTTTTTTTTGTGTGTGTGTGTGGTTAATTTGACATTTCAAAGAATTTTTTTTTTTTTTTCAATAAAAAGGGGTAAATGCAATCGTAACAGTCAAAACGCTGATTTTTTTTGTTTGTTTTTCACATTCATTCATTAATGAGAAATTGAAATCAGATATACTATGGTTTTAGTTTAGTTTTATAAAATAATTATTTGGGAACAAACACATGGAATGTGAAAACAGTATAAAGATTTTGAATGCATTACGAGGGTTAAGAGTGTTAAATGTATGAACAGATTTTGTAGCTGACGGCATTCAAACGCGTGTACTGGAGCTGGTTACGCTTAGACTTGTTGGCAAATGCTTTTTTTTGCAGGCGGTTTCAAGGACAACAATCACTAGAAAGTACAGCAGGGTTTCCCAAACTGAGATCGTGGGTTGATAAAACTAATAACAATTAGTTTTAATAGTAATAATATGAGCAGCTAATAACTGCTCATATTATATGTCAAATTAAAATAAATCAATGAGGCTGCACGATAATCACGATAAGAGTGATTATCAAGTCAGTGATTTAATTCAATATCTGCATATTCTGTAGTTTCAGAGTGAAGTGCAGCACCGTGTTCATGCCATCCGGTGTTTTCAGCATCTCGCAGTAAATGCACTGAACTCCATCACTGTATATAAATGTAGCATGCATTAGGGAACGCAATATGCGCTAGTTTTATTCACACAATCACATTATTTCCAACATTTTTGTGGACAGAAGTTTACAGCGTTTCATTAATATCACTATTACAACTTGTAGCAAATCAAATTGTTATTATAATCAAATATTTATTTTTTTACATTACAACTGTAATTTACAATAGTAATATATTTTATTTATAGTAATATTTTATTTTAATGTTTATATATAGTTATAGTTACAGTTTAAAAAACAACAACAATAATAATAATAAATATTATTATTATTATTAAATTAGCTTGAGTTCCTAAAGCACCAGTGTGAATATAAAGTTGACTGAATTAATGTCACAACTACGAAAAAGTGCAGCATTATACATTTTATACATTTTTTATAATTACTTAAAATTATAAATATCTAATAATAATAATTGATTTTATTATAATACTATTTGTAATATTATATATTGATAGAATAATATTTGTAATATATAACATTTTATATTTATTATTATTATTATTCAATATACTTGGTTCCTAAAACACCAAGGTGGTGAATGTAATGTTAAACTAAAAAGAGGTTGGAGTTCACTTCAAAATCCAAATGTAGAGTCAAAATAAAAAAAATTATAATTTTAATTATTTTTTTCAAATATATTTAATACGATTTAATATTTTAATAATAATTACCTATAATACTTAATAATAACAATAATACTTCTTAATAATTAGTCGTTTGGGAATCCCTGCAGTACACTGATGCAGCGCTGTACGTCTCCACGCAGTCAGTAAAGCTGTAGAGACGCAGGCAGAAGCTCTGAGAGCGTTAGCAGCGTGAGAGCGGATCCTGAGCTGCTTTACCTGTTTCACTGCATCCTCATAACACGGCGGCCCTTTACTGCCGGAGGCAGGGGGATCTGAGCTACAGAAGGCAGTGCTGGACGTGGGAGACTTGGGCTCAACGTGCCGCAGAGAGAGAGACAGAGCCTCCTACAGGAGACAGGGCCAAACGTTACACCTCTGAGGAGCCAGAGGAGCCCAGCTCTCTGATCAGTGTGTGTGTGTGTGCGGTGGCACCGAATCTATCAGACGCTTCCTCAGCAGGACGCCGTGACCTCTGACCCAGGGCATGTGCTGACGTCACATGATCATTGAGCAGCACATGTGATTAAACAATCTCACACGATCAGCCAAACATTAGGAATTATGAAGAGTTTTTAATATTTTTGAAAGAAGTCCTGTCCGCTCACTAAGGCTGCATTAATTTGATCAAAAAATACAGTAAAAACTGAAATATTATTGCAATTTAAAATAACTTGTCCATGTGAATATATGTTAAAATGTAATTTATTGCTACGATCAAAGTTGAATTTTCAGCATCGTTATTCCAGTATTCAGTGTCACATGACCCTTCAGAAATCATTCTAATATGCTGATTTGCTGCTCAAGAAACATTTCTGATTATTATCAGTGTTGAAAACAGTTGTGCTGCTTCATATTTTTGTGGAAACCGTGATACATTTTATTTTTCAGGATTCTTTGATGAATAGAAAGTTCAAAAGAACATAATTTATTTGTAATAGAAATCTTTTGTAACATTATAAATGTCTTTACTGTCACTTGTGATTTTTTTTTTTTTTTTTTTAAATGACCCCAAACTTTTGAATGGTAATGTATGAAAATTCAGCTTTGATCACAGGAATAAATGACATTTTACATGTAGAATTCATCTATTTTATATTGTAAAAATATTTCAAAATTTTACAGTATTTACTGTATTTTGATCAAATTAATGCAGCCTTGATGCACAGAAGAAACTTCTTTCAAAAACATAAAAAAATCCTAATTATTCCAAACTTTTGACCGTCTGTGTTCATTGATTGAGACGCATGATTGATACTCTTTTAACAGAAGCCCAGTGGAATTGAGACTTAATGTTACAGGAGCCGATCAGAATGTGTGATGTTCTGCTGTGAGTTTTTGTGAGTGATGAATTGGATGAGTTGAGTTTGATTCTTCACGTACTTTCTGCTGCATGCCGCTGCTCTTGGCTTTGGTGGATCCTCTGGCGCTGAGGTTGTTGTCTGATGGATTCTGATGGTAAAGCGGCTGCAGGTTTCTCTGATCTGACGGATACGAGCAGCTCGCCGTCTGTCCCGCGCTCTTCTGCTGTAACAGAGATTTCAGCCGTTAGTCACTGAATCAAAAAACAAACATCAGTGTCCAGGATGAAGAAAAGGAAGAATCTTTCACAAATTCCAGCTTCCAAGTACTCTTCATGTTAAATATGGTTGTTAAAAAAACTTTTTTTTCTTTTTGGGGCAAATTCTAACTATAATATCGTTCAGCTCTTTATATAAAGTTGTATATGGAAGAATATTCGACTTTATCCACATACATACTGTGCCTGATTTCTTGTATTGTTGCAAAATGTGACTACTGTATATCATCGTTTACCTCTAATCTGATAAATGTGACTATGAGGCATAATATTAAGATATTATAACCATTAACATTCATGTAAAGCTGCTTTAAAACAATGTACATTGTGAAAAGTGCTATACAAATAAGTTAAATCTATATTAAATCTAATGACATAAAATGTCATGTTGCGCAAGTATTACGTAAAAAATGTAAATTTCCCTAAATCTTCAACTTGTGTGAAGGTACACACCTTTAAAAAATTTGTCAAGATAAAAGTTTTTAAAAATTATCATCAAAATGTATGAAATCATAATATTAATTGATAAATGTCGTTAAGTTCCAGAAAGTTATACTCCTAAATCTTAAATATTTGTAAAAGTACACAATGATTTTATTATTATTATTATTATTATTAACTATACAAAGTATTTTATGTGTACATAAATGCATTTTTTAAATAAAAGTATTTTTACAGATATCATAACATTTATATAATAAAATATAAAATTTAAATATTAATTTATAAATACCATTACGTTTTCGCACCACATGACATTTTACAACCTGAACTAACCTTGCCTATATAGATATAATAACGTATATAATAATCTCTATGATATTATTTTCTGCTTATGTCAGTCATGACTTATATTTAGCAAACAAAATTTTGTCAAATAATAATAATCATTTCTTTTAAATAGAATTTTAATAATAAAAAACTATTGCATTGTATTGTTATTGTATTTAGTTAGTTATTTTTACCACCCAAAAATATCAATTACTTTTAATTCAGAAATGAAAACTATTTTGCTATTTATGGAAGAGGTGTGTTTGAGCATTTGTATTTCTGAATCACTGTAATTTTAGTATGATTGAGATACTATTATAGTTTTGGCTAGCATTTTTATTGTTTCTGCTTTCATGTTACTTTTAGTTAAAAATTTCAGTAATTTTGTTGTGTCCTTTTGTCATTTTATTATTTTTTGTTGTTTTCAAATATGTCCATATAGTTTTTATTTCAATTTTAGTTTTTGATATTTAAGTACATTACGTTAAACTGAAAAAAAATGAAAAATGTTGCTTTGGAAACTCACGGATATAAAATAAGTTTAATGTGTTCTATATTTTGTTTTATTTCAGTTAAGATTTATTTTATTTCAAGTAATGAAAACGTATTTATGGTTTTAGTTGGAACTAACTATAATAATCGTGTTGTGAATGAATGAACGGATGAATTGTTCGCATCACTGAATCACTGTTTTCTTGTCTATAACTGTAAAGCTGTATTGTATAAACTGCTATAGAAATCAATGTGACTTGACAGACGTGTGCATGTGCCGTGGATCACCTGTAGGTTGCGTGCGGCTCTGCTTGCGCTCTGAGGCAGCGTGTGCGAGTCTCTCAGCAGGTACTGCTGGCCGGGGGACGAGGGGCTGCTGGAGGGTTTGGTGAGGGGCGACTCTTCAGGAGAACACTGAGGGCTCAGGAACGCAGACAGGCCGGCGGGGCTTGCAGATGACGGCGGCCCCCTGCAGTGCGGCGCAGCGTGCAGATCGCAGTGAGCCATGCAGCCGCCTTTCATCTGCTTGGCAGCCAGAGGACAGCTGGACGCCACCTGCTCCTGCTTGACGGACACGCCGTAGAACTGCTGCATCTGCGCAGGAGGCTGCAGATGCATCATGTGCTGCGGCGGAGCGGGACAGTCCTGCATGCGCTTCCTCTTGTGCAGCTGCATGCGCAGCTCCTCCACCTGCCTCTGCTCCTGGTGCAGCTTCCACGTCAGCTCCTCGATCACCTTCTGCTTCTCCACCAGCATCTTGTCCTTCTCGGCGTCCGGTCCCAGCGCGCTCTGGCCCTCGTCTGCACTCAGCTGGGCCGGCGACGGCTGCAGGCCGAACTGCGGCGAGGACATGGTGACGTCGCTGAAGCTGTCGGGCAGCGAGCCGCTGACGGAGAGATCGGATGAGGCCGGAGAGATGGGCGGTGTGGAGCCGCTGCTGCAGAACGGGTAGAAGCCGGCGCCGTGCGACTGGTAGGACGAGAGCGATCCGGTGGGCGTCACGGGGAATGCGGCTGCGCTGACGTCTGCAGAAGCGGCCGGAGAAGAGTCTTTGAAGGGCCGCAGACGCTCTATGAGCGCCGTCTTAGTGCCAGACACCGGCAGACCGCGGATCCGCAGCTGCTGCCTGAGTTCAGACACCTGGCAACACACAAAACAGTCAGGCTAACAGTTCCAACTAGCTCAAATTAAAAACTTTAGTTGCTGCGTTAAATGTTTAATTCTCATAATGCATTTCAAATTTGCATAATGTTTTCACATTCTGGGTACGTTTGGACCCAAATAAGACCCAGTGAGTCATAACTATTCATTTTCAATTAAAATCATATTGCATCTTTGAATGTTATTACCATGTTATTACTGGTTTTAGCCATCTTTTATTCATTAAAAAAATTGAGAAATTCTTTGAAATTTCAAATTACACATGAACACACCATTTTTTTCTATGATGTTGAGGAATATACATATGAATATATCATTGTATGAAAATTATAAGAGCATATAATCTTAAAATGACCAGGAATAAATCCATTGGAACGGATAGGATTTAAATAAATGCCTTTGTTTATAATTCATGATTGCTAAAATTTTAAATTTTACTTGCATAAACATGTAAAACAAAAAATTTAAATAGTTATAGATCTTAAAAAACAAGTGTAAAAAACAGATGAATGAATCCTTACTAAAAACCTATAGTGTTTTTTCATGCACTGGTCAGTTTGGGTTTTTGAACTCTTAATATGTCAACAAACTCAAAACCAGAATTTTGAACATGAATTTATCCAATCAGATTTATGTTGTGGAAATTTAGGCGCACATTTAATGAGACAATGCCTCATTTGCATATTTAAACCTAACATTGCAGAAATCTTTTAATACAAGACATTTGTCTGAATGTACTGTGATTAATCAGCTGGTTTAGTACGCTGATACCCATTAGTGAGACCTGTAGTGTTGACACACACCTTCCTCTTTAAAATCTACAAGCTTCTGGTTTCCAGTCCAGATCTTTAACCCCTTCATCGCACCATGACGTGACGTGTCAAAGCGCAGCACTGACCTTCAGGTCGTCCAGGTTGGCGGGCAGCGGTCCGGGTCTGACGGGGCTGATGGACGGGTTGCAGTAGCTGCTCTTCACTGGAGACGAGGAGCTGCTGCTGGTCTGGACGCTGGACGCACATGATGACTGCTGTTCACCGGACGCCCTGTCACACACACAAACACAATTATGCTTCTCATGATCAGAAAACTGCCTAAATAATGAATAAAAATGGCATTCAAATGGAATTTTGAAAACATTTTTATATATACTTCTGTTCAAACATTTGGGGTCTGTAAGAGTTTGAGACTCTTCTGCTCATCAAGGCTGCATTAATTTGATCAAAAATACAGTAAACAGTAAAAAACTGTAAAATTGTGAAATATTGACGAAGTATTTCATCGCGAAATATTGATGCAGTAGAGACAAAAATGTGGAATAAAGTCGTTATTTTTGTTTTCTTTGCGCAAAAAAGTATTCTCGTAGCTTCGTAACTTTACAGTTGAACCACTGATGTCACACGGACTACTCTGTCGATCATCTTGGTACTTTTCTGGACCTTGAACGTGGTAGTTACCTTGCTGTCTATGGGAGAGTCAGAGAACCCTCAGATTTCATCAGAAATATCTTAAATTGTGTTCCGAAGATGAACGAAGGTCTTACGGGTTTCGAACAACACGAGGGTGAGTAATTAATGACAGAATTTTCATTTTTGGGTGAACTAACCCTTTAAAACTAAAGGCAAACATTTATGCTGATAGACAAATGTATTGTACA